AACCCCTAGCTACTTAGGCTTCTATATCATGAGGAGGGGTCCTGGTACTTACTACTTCCCAGGATCCTTTAAGAGCCCTTTGCAGCTCCTGCGCTGCCTCCAACCCAGACGCCTCTCCGTTTAGGGCTTTATTGGGGGTTTTGGGTTCAAGGGTTTAGGGGTTTAGGGTTTAGGGGTTTCGAGGTTTAGGGTTCTTCAGGGTTGAGGGGTTTAGGGGTTAGGGGTTTAGGGTTTAGGGTTTGGGGTTTGGGGGGTTGTCGAGAGTCTTTTCCAAAAGCGGAACTTCCTCCTCGCTGCCGTCGCTTGCGGTGCTGTCTGCTCCTGGGCCGGGATGGCTTTGGGGCTCATAGGGTTTATGAGTTTGTGTCTTTTTACGGCTTGGGGTTTGAAGGGTTTGGGGTTTAGGGCTTATGGGATTTATGGGGGTTTTAGGTTTGGGGTTTGTAGGGTTTGTGGGGCTTGGGGTTTAGGGACGCATTTGGTTTGTCGGATTTCTGATTTTTAGAGTTTGGGGTTCATTGGTTTTGGGTAAAGTCGCACGAACAGACGCATGGTCTGCATAACGAAAATTAAGCATGGGACTCAGAACAGTCCTGCAAGTCACATAATATCCGCATGAAGCCCTCAGAACATGAAACTTCTTGTGATTCCGCTGCGCAAGCCTGAAGCCTGCCAACCCAAGCTCCCAACATCTGGCAACCTCTAACCCCCAGCAAGATAACTAGAGCTCATAACGCCTGTAAAAAAACACTGCGACCGGTTCTGGAAGTTTTCAGAAAGCATAAGCCCCAAGGCTTCGTCAGCCAGCTGTATGCATCGCCAAGCGTCCCAACAATGCGGCGGTGTGCGCCTTGTGCGGCTTAAGACTTTTGGTTCAGTTCGAGGCGTTGGCGTTTGATTTCGGGTTGAAGGTTGAGGAGTTTAGGATTTAGGGTTTAGGGTGTAGGGGAGTTTAGGATTTAGGATGTAGGCTTCCCGACTGACTGTGGTGTCTGATCCGACTGATCTTCTCTTGGTCGCGGAGCTTTGCTGTTCGAGATTTAACAAGTACCAGGTTCAGGTCACTTCGAGGACCAGCAGCGACTCAACCCGAAACTGTCCACAGCCCAAGGCTCATCGTCTAGAAAGCCTCCAAGGCCCCCAGCTACGATCCTGAACCCCTGGGTTAAAAGCCTCGAGCTGCAAGCCCAAGGGACCAACAAACCGCAGCCGGCACCCAGCTCCAGCACGCGCCGCTGAGGCAAAGTCGCAGCCGCCCGGAGGAGTAGGTGTACCGAAGCCCAGGCCTTGTTTGGTTGTTGTGGCGCCGGGGGGAAGGGACCACATATGTTGGGCTCTTGGGAAGGTTTCTATAGGATGCTTTCTGGCTGCTTGAAGCGGTTTGTGGGTATATCAAGGCCTAGCTGGCTTAGCTCATAGGATTGAAAGGAGTGGGATGCCAAGACGAGCTCGGCAAAGACGAGCCTTTTGTGCACAGATTTAGCTCCGATGCCTCGGAGTCCTTGTCTGTCTGCAGGAATTAAATCGGTTTAGGGTTTCGGTGAGTTCACGCGCTTCGAAAGCAAGTGCGGATGTCCCAGCTCTCCTTCACCGGAACGTTTTGATCGAAATCACCAAAGACCGAAACCTCAATAAATAAAAGACCTTCCGTACTGAAGCTCTGGGCGCCGCACACCCCTCCAGCAGATGGCACCTAGGATTTTTCTGATGCCCGACTTCATGACTTTAAGGCTTCAAGTGTGTGGGTTTAGGATGCTTCGTGTCTGTGTCAGGGATGTTGCCTACAGAAGGCTTCCGGCGTGGTGTTTATGTTGAGCAAACCAAAACCTCACCTCAGAAGGACAACTCGACAGACAGCACACAACTCGAAAACCAGGACCTTCTTTTTACCGGATGGCAAGCCCCTGACATACGTGACGCTGAAGCACACAAGGCGGCAATTCTGACCTCAGAAATTGAGCCATGAATCCTGTCACCCTGAGCCAAAAAACCCTAAATCTGTGAGATTCTTGAAACCTGAACTCTGCCAGCTTAGTTGCCACTGGAGCCCATGGGCCATCCGTACAGCCTGGCAGAATGTCCTAAATCAAAAGCACCTTCTACCTGTAGCCGATAAGACCTACCTTTCCAAAAATTCTAGGGTTCCATATCATGGTCACACTCTCGCTCTCTCTATATATATGCTTTTACAGGTATATGTTTCCTTTAAAAGGTAGGTCTTTTGGGCCACAGGTAAACACTCACATTCTCTAAATCCCTAAGACCTTTCAAGGACAGAGAGTTGCGACCAAAACGAAAGGCTCAAACCGTCGAGCTCGAAAGCACACCCCCAGGGCACCAAGGCTGTTAACAACTGTAGACTTACAGACCTGGCGAGGTCAATCCTGCACGCGCGGCTCTAAACCTAAACCGTCCAAACTTTTCAAAACCCCTAAGTCCTCAAGCCGTAATCCTAAACCTCTGAGACCCTGAAAGGACACTGACGCGACCTGAGAACCCGCAATAAAGTCACACACCCTCAGAGAAACAACGCAGCTCGGGTTCAGGAGACGGCGTCAGGAGGAGAACATCCCTAAATCCTATAAACCCTTAGGCCCGAGGTCCTAAATATCGAAGAAAGGGCTGAGAAAAGGGTCATGGACCGAACTTTTGGGTGATTTAGGGCTCTTCAATCACAGGTTCCGGGGGGTTAGGACCTTAAGATTTAAGGCTTCCCTGTTCTCTGGACAAGGCCTACGAAATCAGAAAACTGTTTTCGAAGACCACCTGGTTAAGAAGGATCAAGCTACTTAGGATCCTTTACTTTCGGGAGCTTGCGAACCTGTCGAGTTTAGAGCTTACGGGCTATAGGCGGGTCCTTTGCGCTTGATGTTGAGAGGGCCAACTGAGCAGCTCTCTCCAAGAACAGAAAAACACAACCAAGTACCCCAAAGACCGTACACTCGAAAACATGTGGAAACGCACGTCAGGTGAACCACAAAGATAAACACATGCAAGCACGCACACTCACAAACATCAACACTAAGAAATCCGAAAGCAGCATCGCAAACTTACTCGGCCGACCCCGCCCCAACCATATTACAAAGAACTTCGGAATGACAAAACGAAGAGCCCTACCTGGACCAAGACACGTCTAGCCGTGCACAAAAGTTCGTAAAGCCCAAGCCAGACTCTTCCAGCTGCACTCAGAACCCTTAGCACAATCCCACCTGAGTTGCAACTTGTCCTTCACATCGGGAAGTGCGATGCCCTCCGGTACATCCACCTCGAACACTCGCCTGGCTCTCCAGATGTCGAGTTGTTCGGGTCTGGGGCCTCGGGGGGTCATAGCTTAGGGGGTGTCGAATGGTCGGTTGAGAGAGCTTGAGGTTCAATACCTCGGTTCAGGTCCTGTATGACCCCTAAGCCTGAGACCCTGAACCCTAAATCCTGCGAGCCACCGACTAAGCCAACTGCCGCAAACTTGTGTCTAATCAGGCCGACGACATGCTGTAGGGCAGAAACCTTCAAAACCTAATCTAAGCCCTAAGCCCTAAACCTGAAACCCTAAACCCCAAACCTTGGGGTGTGGCGCCTTTAGTGTTTGGGGTATTCGGGGCATATAGGGTGTTTAAGGCATTTAGGGAAGTTGAGATTCAGAGTTTAGGGTTTAGGGTTTTAGGTGTAGGGCCTTTTTATGTGGGCTTGCATAGTTTTCCGGGTTGAGGGCTGTCTTTCTAGTGGGGACCTTGGCCCCTAGGTGTACAGTGCAGGGCTAGAGCGGCACGATAGAGTGTACTCTAAATCCAAAACCCCAAACCCCAAAACCCCTAAACCCAAAACCCGAAACCCAAAGAGGCTTGGATCATCTTGCAAGTACAATGTGCAGCCAAGCTGCTCAACGTACTCGTCCTCTGCAAAGAGCATGGCTGCTGGCTGCCATGTGCATTGATGCAAATCCGGTGGTTGGGGGAGCCACTGCTGCCTTGCTGGACTCTAAACCCTGATCAATGTGTTCCAACTCCAAAGTCCACTTGCTTTCTGACAATAATTTCGTGCCGGGCGTACTCTTGCAGCCCGCTGAGAACTCCCTGCGCTGACAAATTATAATAACCTCGGCTTGGCATGAACACTTGTTCACTGTTCCCTGCATGCACTGAACCCAAGCTGCTTCAGCATGTCTCTGTTGCCGAAGTGTCAGAGAGGGTGACATGTTTCGGCATCCGAACGCCCAGAACACTAAAATGCAGAGGCCTAGCAGACCAGAAAGGTGTTTCACAAGCAAATCCCTACAAAGGCTTAACCCTAAACCCTAAACCCTAAACTCAACCCTAACCCTAAGAGCTCTCTCAGGGCTGTAGGCTCACCCCCATGCCCTGAACGCCCTTTCATTAGCTATCTAAGCTTCGAAAACCTGAGTAACTGGAGACCTTTGATGCCCTTTGTAGAGAGTAGGACTTCGGATTTAATTTAGTATTGCAAAGTTGCATGTTGGTTTACGTTTTGCAGGTTTAGGGCTTTAGGGACTTTACCATAAGGGCTACAATCCAGATCTGAAGCTCCGCATCCCTCAGCCCTAAATCCTAAGGCAAGCAGATTTTCGGAGCGTGCCCCGTCTAGAGCTGCAAGCTTGGGAGTCTGGCCGTCAATGGCCGCAGGATCACATGAACTACGGGACACTAGATGCGGTCCATCACACGCTTCGAGGCTTGTTGAAGCTTGGCGTGCACGGCCAGTTAGGCTTCGGAAATCAGGCCGCCTCAGCAAATAGCAACTCCAAGCCCGCAGGCGTTTGGTCAGAATGCAAGTTCGGGTTTCCTGCTGGACCAGTCTAGCGTCACGCCTCTAAGCATCATGGCCGGGATGCGTCTCGAAAGAAGTATCACGGCCAACGCTATGGTGGTGTGTACTTTAGGGTTGCTACTAAGGAACCAATAGCACAAACTCGCAGTAAGTATGTCGAAACGCATCCAACTGACCCCATCGTCGGTAACGATCCGCTGTACAATCTGAGTCTGAGATTAAACAGGGCATCGCCTCTGCACCACTTGCTTCTTGACGGGCTTGTCATCAATCTGCTGCAAGGCGTCCTGCACAGCCCCAACCCTCTCCCAAACAAAACACAGATCCCCGAAAGCCAACACTTCCACTGAGCCCTGTCTCAAGACGACCCGACTTCTCATTCATCCCTCTTCCTCCTACTGCTCCGCTGCTGAGCAAAATCTCAGCACTACTACGTTGCCCATTGCAAGACTTCGCCTCTAGCGCCTGAGATTTAAGGCTTCGAGGTAGGGATCTGGCATTTGCTGCGGAGGCCATTGCCCTAAACCCTGTCTGGCCCGAAGAACTTTTCTGTTGATTTCGCCTGTCCTACCTCTGACAAAATCCAGCAGTTTCCGCTATATGTTAATAAGTGGTTACACCTGTTTGGAGGCCGCCTCACCAGGCTCGCATGTTCAAGACCGAGGGTAAGTCTAGGATGTAGGGCACAGGGTCGAATCATCTTGTTCTGTTGTTCAAGGTGTCAGGCAACAATATATGCTGACCATCGTTACTACGTCGCATGCCAAGCACCAACGTAGTAGTAGTAGTAGTAGTAGTAGTAGTAGTAGTAGTAGTAGATGATTCCAGCCCCAATTTCACTGCAGCCCGGGAAGGTTCGAGAAGTCCCAGGCCTGCTTGCTCATCTCCAGCGCGGCATGCCTGTCCAGAATGAGGAGTTTCTCCATCTAGTGAGGCGAGTCTTCAAAACAGCTCTGTAAATGAGATTAACACCACCTCTGGCAGCTACGACTTTGCAGAGGTCAGTCCCCTGAAGAACCTGGAGTGTAAGCGGCGTTGCATCTGTAGTATTTGCACGTCTTCTGTGGGGATTCGACAAGACACGAGTACAGGGAGTTCTGCCAGTCACTGGCAAGCCAACGAGACGTGAGCACGGGCAGGCTATCCCTAGGCGAAGTATAGCTTCAAAGGATTCTTTTCCGAGCAAGCCGACAAGAAACCTAGCCTCGTACCTCGTTCACCTGACACCCCACCGCAGACACAATTGAGGGCCTAAAAAAGCTACCGCCTAGCAACACGAGCTCTTCAGCCCAACCGCTCACCCAAAAAATCCCAAGTCCAGAACCTGCCCGAGGCAATCTTCAACCCCTAAGGCGCCCCGACGGAGACTATTCCGCCCCCCCCCCCCCCCCAAAAAAAAAAGGGCCTAAGCTTCCAACGATATAGGTTGGTTTAAAGGTCAGGGTTTAGAGTCTCCTGACTGGGACACCCACTAAGTTCCCCGAGCCTTCCCAAAGCATCTGGGGCTATGTTCTCCCCTTCTGAGGCAGCATCAGAAAGAAAAACTGAGATAAACATAATTACAATGCTGTAATACATTGAAGTGCCCGCAGTTGTGTTTTGGCGCCATGTGCGTATATTTGTAAACAGAAACCCCTCTCTAGCAGAAAACGGTGTCAGTATCTTACCCATGGCCTTAGTTGGATTGAAGAGCGGCTGGTAGCTAAGATAGAGGCCTTAATAATTCGAATGGGGTTTTGGGGCCCACTATAGTATAACCATAAAAAGGAACCCCCAAAATAGTATTGGTAATTATTTAGGCCCCTACACTAGCTGGATTCAAGAGCGGTTGGGAACTATACCCAAGCATAAACCTGAACAAGGAGGATCAGTTTACCACTGTTCCCAAAGGGCCCTGCTCACCAAGACTCTGGTCATATAGACCTTGCCTCACATAAACATACACCCCACATACTCTGCATGTGCATAGCTATATATATATATATAATATGTATAGGTACATATATATATATATACATATATATATATATACATGTGTAGATACTTAGAGACAGACATATTGAAGTGCTCTACAGCCCGAACCCCCCAAACACTAAATCCTGAAAATGGCACCCTAGCACAGAACCATCGCAACGTGGCTATCAGGCTGCCGATGCCTGGCTGCCTGCTGGATGATCATCGCACCACCTTGCAGATGCCGCAGGGAGATCTGGAACCCTGTCCAAAAAAAATCCTTTACCGTGGTTGCACACAATCATGACTCAGTCATAGCCTAAGATATAGCCCCACTTGCTAAGTCCGCTGATCCTCTAAGTACACACCGATACATGTCAGGGAACCTGAGCCGTGCTTGTTCTTTACGCTTGTGTTGAGGATCTTGGATTTAGGGGTTGGGGCTTTGGGTGTAAACCTAGGGGTCTCGGGATCCGAGCCTGGAGCCTTTCTCTGATAGAGGGGGAAGCCCGAACGCAAAGATATCAAGCGGAATCAAGCGCTCAAACCACCCTAAAGATGCCTGAAGCTGAACTTCGGACAAACCCTGAACAGAAACAGCCTCCAGCGACGACGGCATACCTCAGCTAGTGGATTCTGTAGCACCATGTAGGGGTTGCTTGACGTGAGCCGTGTGAAGTGTCGCACCTGGTTAACTCTCTTCTTCAAGACCCGGGCCCAAAAAGTTGAAGCTTTCTAAGAGAGACCAAACATATAAGGCCAGCGCGGTTAAAGTTCTCCCATTAGATAAAATTTAGTAGCTCATTTCAGAGTGTCACCGCAATGAAAATGCCACCATCCCGGCGCAGAGCGCGTGACAACAAGGGCGTGGCTCTATAGTAGCAGCACAAACATAAGAAGCTTGCAGCTTCCACATTCAGAAGGATTGAAGGGTCCAGAGACTGGTCTTGTCAGCTTCTGCCACACACTAGTTGCATGACATACTTGTATCTGGCCATCCGAACGACTCGGAAGCATGTTCTAAGCTGCCACGATGTCTTGAAGGAAGAAGCAAGGTCTCGGACAATTGCAATCTAAGCTTGGGCAGCTAGGATCTGTCCAACACGCCTCTTATGACCATAGCTGTGGTCCCCTTCTACACCTGCTACTGTTGTTGATCGCCAAAATGCCAAACAAAGCACTAAACCCCAAACATCCCACACCCCAATTCTCCAAATCCCCTGCTTGTTGCCGCCGGAGAACATGCCACCGAGGTATGTGGTCAGCATGGAGAGGCCTGCGACCTTGCAAGGGTTTCATTACCCAGGCGGCCGTTCTGGTTTAGGTCCGACTTTCGGATCCTGGGCTTTTTGGAGGCCCAATCTCGATTTCAAGCTCAGCAGTGCCGTGCAGCAACTGGATCTTGGCCACATATTCCCGGAGTTGTTGATTTTCATGCCGTGAATTGAGTAACTTGTGCTCAGCCTGCAAGACTTGCAACTTCTCAGCTTGGGCACGCGCTTCACTGTGCTTTCCTTGCGATCTCAATCGTCTGACTTGCTCATGCGTTGCTTCGATCCTGCGACTCCTCTTCAGACCATCCTCATCCAAGCTCTTCCCAAAACTCTGGTTTCCCACCTGCTCTGCAAGAGCAGCGCGGACTTCTGACGCAGTCTCAGCCGTCAATCGCAGGGATAGCCTTGCTTGCTCAGCTTTGCAAACGAGTCCGGCCTCCAACATTGCATGCAGCATCGCTGTGCAATTGGACCTGCGACCTGTGTGCAGGACATAAAATCCCGAATAATTTGCCAGATGCACGCCAATCCCGAGGTCTTGTGCCAAGAACTCCTGCAAGCATTTCAGGACCGTTCCGAACTTCTGCCTGATATCAAGCCTCTGCCGCACTCCGCCTCCGTGGTGCACATAACCTTCTGCATCGAAGAACCCAGACAGATACTCCATAGTGATTTCGCCAGGCACGGCAGAATCGGTCCGTTTGAGGGCGTGCTGCTGCCGTTGACACTCTTCTCTGCGATGCTCCTCCTTCGGCCATGCAGCTGCAAGTTCGAGCTGCTTCCGCTTCGTGATGCTATAGGATGCGAGAACAGATGCAGCAGAGCGGGCTTGTCGGCCACTAACACGCCAAGCAAGCGCGGGCTGACAAAAGCCTACCCCATCGGAATGTCTGACAACACTTCCACCGAAGGTTGAAAGAAAAAGCATCAGTACCTCCGCCTGTTTGAAAGACTGGCTGACAGAGAGGACACACCCAGACAAATTACTCTTGCAGCAAACGCAACCATCCCCATCAAAGAAGCCTGCTAAGTATCTTAATCTGGCTGGTTGTCCAAGGCCCACGACTTGAGCAGCGGCCGTTGATTGCGACTTGACAGGGAGCTCATAAGTTCGGCCGTTTACATCAAGTGATGCAAGAACCGGCCACCGGAGCGTCTTGATAAATCCGCGCAGCTGCATGTTTTTTGCCTGCACCACCTGAAGTGGATCGTCTGACACATTAACCAAAGAAGCAACATCCGCAGCAACGGCGCTGCCATCTTGGGATGCGTTGAGAGGCCTCGGGCGGGCTGAAGCCAAGGCCCAAACACGGCGGAGAGATCTGCCCGGCCAAATGGAAGTTTCTGGCGTGAGCAGCTTGGCGCGCCACAGAGAACAAGCACACATTGCCTTCCAGCTGTGTGCAGGCAAGCAGCAAATTGAGCAGCTAATCGCACCCAGCACGCATCGCAGGCTCCACACACCAGACCAAAAACAGATGCAGCTTGGACCAGCTACTACACATGTGACAAGCAAGGAATTGCATATCGGCATATCGACAGTCGGACATAGCCGAACGTCCGAGATATACATGTTCGCGTTAAGGTTGGTAGGAGTATCCAGTGAAATGGCATGCGTGGCAACTTCTGCACCTGGAGGCAGGTAGGGCTGTTGCCGTCGCCAGAAGGAAGAACGCCACACCGGAGAGGACGGAGGAGCCGTAGGATCTGATGGCAATGCAAGTGCACTCCGGTGTGCACGGTTTCAAATCTTGTTCTGACTCACGTCAGGCTCTTGTGGCTACTCAAGTTGCTAGAATTCCCTGTAGTCCTTTTAACGGAGACGACTCTCAGCAGGAAATTTCGGAAAGGACACTTTGAAAGTGCACCAACAACCACTTTCTCTGCAGAAACTATGGGCACAGATGTCAGGGATTGGTGATTTAGTGCTCAGAGGCCAGCGTGAAACGGCTGTCTGGAAAGCCGACTTTAAGTGCTTTCCAGAATTGACAGAACCATACTAGTTAAATGTTGCTGAGGGGAGTTTGCCCAGGCATGGCTCTGTGCCTAGAAACTCAAGACCTAAGCCACAAGCCCGAATTTTCTCCTCCTTTTATGCTTCTTCTTTGTTATGTCTCGTCTGGTTGGGCCTGGAAGCTTGGCAGAGGAGCGGATGGGATATTATCATACAACAGGGACGGTTGCTGATCCGAAGCCCTGGAGCCCAACGCCCAGGCTCCAGGCACTATCAGCAGATACATGTTGTAGAGGAAGTAGCCTGAGGCATCCGCTAGCACTTTCTGCTCGGGGGTTTCAGGCTTGCAAGCTCCCTACATGCCTACATGCACAAGTCTACGTCGTGGGTGGACGTAGGGGACTTGGTTTAAGACTGGAGCTCTAACACATTCCTACACACCCTTGACGCCACGGAATGGAACTTCAACGCCGTGCATCTGAGGGGGTGTTTTCGGTCTTGGGGCTCAGGTCAGGGTTGGGTTTGGGGTTGTAGGCAGACTGCTGTGGCAGACGCAGGCCCGATTGCGGGTAAAGGCTCCTCCCTGCAACGAACCTCCCAAGCTTCCCCATGTCAAACTCTGGCATAGGGGTCATGGGGTTTCTGGCATAGTGTACTGCAAACCTTGCAAACCAATGCCGCTCAATGCAACGTGCAGTATCTCCTAAACATGCTGCGTTTTTGCAGGACGGTGTTGGGACAGGAAAGGGGCTGAGCCTCCTGCTTGAAGAAGCATGTAATATTGGGGGTCTGAGCAGAATGTCTTGCAGCTTCAAAGGCCAGCCTGCGTCACACAAGTTTATTCAAGGCCCTGACCTCAAAGCCTAGAGAATTTACTGATTTAGTGAGCATGATTTCCTTTACGACGCAATCTGACATTGATCCCCCGAATTAGGAGTCTACGTGCTGCCGGCGGGCAGAAAGCCCCGATGAGGCCAAGAGTCAAATTGACCACCTGGGCTTTGGCCAGGCCAGGGTTTCTTGATGTGGACATCTGGGGGATTTGGGCTTGATGAGTTCTGAAATTCAGGGTATTAGGCTCAGCTTTTGGAGCGACAGGTTGAACCCGACGGAACCTGTTCCAAAGCTTGGTGCGGGCAGCAGCTCCAACCTAAACCGCCCGAGCCCGAAGCCCCAAGCTTGGAGCATCCCTAAACCCTGAAATACCTGAAACCCTAAACCCTAAAACCCTAACCCCTAAACCCCTGAACCCTAAACCCTAAACCCCCAAAATCCTAAACCCTAAACCCCAAAAATCCTAAACATGTTGCCTAAAACTAACAATCTGTTGTCGAGCATCTTGAAGCTTCAGGCCGGCATATCCTTACACCCCAAGCAGCAGAAGCCGAGACCCGGAACGTAGGGACCTTACCCTACTTGTCCAGTATCAGGGTTTAGGGTTTAGGGTTTAAGGTTTAGGGTGTTAACCTTTGGGAGTATATTGGGATTATACCGAACTTCTAGTAGCCCAAAAAAGTGGGAAGGCTTACCTACTCTACTACGAAGAGCCCTTCTAGAAACCCAAAAATAGGTTGAAGTTTTACCTACTCTGCTACTAGGTTCTAGTCAGGGTTAGGGAACCTGATGGACTTGTACTGGAAATGGGTTTAGGGTTTAGGATTTTGGATGGAAATCGTTCTTAGAGCCTTGCCCCAAGGCCCATTAAACCTCATCTGCCGTGAAAAGGGAGGATGATGGGAGAATTTGTCAAATCTGCTCCATGTTCAAAGCCAGAGATTCCTGATTGTGGAGATCGGGGCAATGTCCCTACATTCCCTACATGTGATCAGTAAAAATAATTGGTATGGCAGTAAGATGCTACAAAGCAAACTAAGTATATTCCTAGTGTCTTTCTTACTGCTACGAACCCCCGCAAAGCGATCCGCGACTCCCGCTGTCCACTGGGGCCCCGGGCATACTGCATGACAAGGCGGAAAATCATGATGTAGAGTGACTCGTCCCGGGCGCCCACGGCGAAGAGGACCTTGCTTTATAAGGCATGGGAGTTAAGTCGACGAGCCCCTCGGCATAGAAGACTGGCTCCAAAAGGATTATGACGGCTAACTCCGCCTTTAACTTAAGCAGGTCCATTTTAAAGACTTCGACCTGCGAAATAATGCCATATACGCCCAGAGCTCTACATCCAAGGCTATCTTTCCACTTAGGTCGGGCGTGTATGACTGGGAGCTGAGGATGAAGTTAAGGCCTAAGGACTTTGGGGGCTTTGGGTTCAGGGCTTCCTGAGTTCGGCTTTAGGGCTTGGGGTTTCGGGTCGAGGTTTCTTTTAGGCTGTGGGTTTAGGGCGTTCTGATTTCGGATTTAGGGTTACCACTGCCGGGCTTGAGCCGTGGAGCCACAGGCCTGCCGGGAAGTTCAAAGCACCTCGGAATCTTCCGGAGACCTTTGTCAAAGCCACCGGCTTCAGGTTAAGGGCTTATAAGGCCTTTAGGCTTTAGGGGTTTTCTGGTTCAGGGTTTAGGCTTTGTAGGGCAGTGACGGTTTAGGGTTTCGAGATTAATTTAGGGTTTAGGTGAACTCGTACTACCGATGACCCACTACCCTACTCTACTCGGTGGGTAGTTTTCGTATTTGGAGATGAGCCAAGGCACGTTGTAAAAGGTGCATTGTGCTGCGAAGTCCTTGCCTGAAGAGATGCTGGCAGTTTGGGGGGGCTTTTGGACTTGAGCATTTAAGGGTTTAGGGACTGGGGGGTTGAGGGCCTAGTCTAGGGCTTCAGGACTTTGGGGGTTTAGGCTTCTTGGGTGCAGGGCGAACTCCCCATCAAGACTCGCACAAAGTCGAGTCGCGTGCTTTGGCTAAGTTCAGTCGAATCTAAAGGAAGGCCTCACAGACACGCACAAGAAGAAGCCTGCAATGGCCTTGTATAACCCTTAGAGCCGAAATACCCATGTGGTAAGTTACCGGGTTATGGGTACATTAGGTTTATGTATCATTTAAGGGACAGTAACCTACTATATGGGAGTTTTCGAAAATTAGGGTACCCTGTTGTGGGGTCCTTATAATAAGGATCCTACTATGTAGGGTACAATATTAAGGTCCCCTATTTTCGGAAACCCCCCATATAGGTATCCGAGCTGCTAGGGCAATGCAGTTCCTAAGGTGGCGACCTTTACACACTCCCCGAGCTTTCCCGAACACAGCTGCCTTAATAAGTAGAATAGGGTTTTGGGGGTATATTATACTGTAATTTTAAGAAGGAACCATAGGGTTTTGGGGTATATTATACTATAACTTTAAGACGGAACCCCCCAAAATAGTATAGGTAATTACACCCTACTTCATAGGATCTCGCGAGCGGCTGATATGTACTCCTTTGCGTGGCAGAACGTGGGAAGTTCTCTGACGCACCATCCCTTTTGGGGAGTCCTTTGTATATGCTGTATATACTATTTTTGTGGACCGAAAGAGGGACCCTAATTGAAAGAACTACCCACGTGGCAGAACCATACATCTGAACTCTCGACAACAAGCTGTTGCTCAGTGTTGCAACCGAGCTGCCAGATTGCCAAGCGTTCCAGAAACTTCTTCGGACATCCTGCATGCCACGGTGTCCGCACAAACTCTGAACCCAAACCTCACATGCAACAACGACCGCAGGCTTTTTGTTTGGAGTTTGGGTGCCACATCGAGTCGTGGTCAGGTTCCCAAAGAGACATCCTGAGAAGAAACCGTTCAGGACTCCCCGTCCCGCCCTGCCCGCAAACCTGCACGCCGAAGGAGGACCAAATGCCAACTTCCTGCCGCCCTTCGGACAGGACGCGGTCCCGGTGCTTCTGCACCTGTTGGTTGTCTCATCTGGAGATGCTGTAGCTGGTAGGATTCGGCGGAAAACCATGTTGCTCTGCGAGCATGGGACATGAACCAGATGCAATACCGACATATACATTATAGGTCTTGTTGGTATGTATATGGGTCATAGGTCTTACCAGCATTGGTAAGAGATGCAGACAGACTCTGCCACTGTTTCCAGCATGCGCAACCATGCTTCTTACTACTGAACATCGAAAAATCCTGCGGTTCCTCTTCTTCTTCGCCCTACTGCAGTTACTGGTACTCGTGCTGCTGCTGCTGCTACCAGCCCTTTCTATCTTACAATTGCGTCTACTGTGGTTGCTGAAGTCTCTGTTGCCGGTGCTGCTGCTGCTGCTGCCGATCATGGTGATGGATGACGTAAGCCAGCTGAAATACTCTACAAATACGTTACCGCGTCTCCCCCCATGAATCAGCCCTGTACGATCAGCCCCAAGCCGCCAAACTCTCAATCCCCAAAACAGCCCTCACGGAACCCTAGACAATCGAGTACTACTACTTTAACATCCCGTCCTAAGCCCCATTCTCAAAACCCTGCCAAACCTCCACCCCTCAACCCCGACAGCCCGGAACGCGACGTCTTGCAGCCGAAGCCCCCAGACCCAACCGGGCAACTTTAGACCCAAACCCCGGAATCCCTCTAACCCAACCTTACTCCTAAAAATTTCTTGCCCAAGTGCTCTGGCGACTTCCGCCTGAGCCATTTGGACCTGCAGGCCAAAAGAAGGCGGGAAGAAATGGGTGGTCGCTAAAGGTTGGGCCTGCGTTCTAGGGCCTCGCAGGTGCTAATTGGAGATGTGCACGGTTGACAAACTTCGGGCTGTGTGATTTCAAGTCTAGCACATGGAGTTCGCAATTTAGGAGCTGGCTTGAAGTATTCAGGCTCCTTTGAGTGCTTACCTCTCTGTAGCAAAAAGTAGGCGCCCACGTAATGCCACCTATTGGATCACCGAAGGTCTGCTGAACGGAACTCTCCGTCCTAAGCTGTCTCCAAGTCCCAGATCAATGTTGGCGCGAAGGAAGCACAAACAACGTGTTAGACCTTTTATGAGGCCCGGCAACGAAACACACACATCCGCAAAACACTGTTTTGGATCCGCCGGTGCAGATGCGGGCCACTCAGGTTTTCGCGGACACCTTCCGCGCCGCGGCTCGGGCGGCATCGCGGATGGCCTCCGACGCACGGAGGTTCGCTCGCCGCAGAAACCTGGGTGCTTCGGACTTCGCAGGCAAAGGATTAGCGTTGAGGGTTTAGGGTTCTGTAGCTGAATTGGAGGTACCATCAGCACCAACAAGTGACGTTCATAACCGTAGCCAGTACCATCATGCTCTTATCTAGAATTCACATGTGTGTATCGCTGCGTGCTTTCGACGCCCCATTGCAACCAGGCATCTGCTCGAACCCATGTTCCAGCCTCAACCCTCAAGGTTTTGGGGCCTCCGGAGAATGGCAGCCCGAGGTCAGACTCACTCCAAACCCCCAAACCTGCGGAGATGAACTCCGACCTTCAACTACCACAACCTACTTTTTGTAGGCTCTTATACTAAACCCGAATATGTAGAGTCTTATAGGGGCCCTAGAAGAAAAAACAACTAGCTTTTGGTAAGTAAAGGGAGCCTATAGTCCAAAACCCGATAGCCCTAGGCACTGAACGTTTTTGTCGCGAAATCCCCCAAAACTCCAAAGCCAAGATCTGAAACCTTGCAGCTATCTTTGCAGAAGCAAGTTCCGGAGGTCTGGAGGTAAATCCCAAACTCCGAAAACCTAAAACAACTGTCTAAGGTTGTTGTAATTTCAAGGAAATCATCCTTAAAAGCTCCAAGCAGCTCCGAGCGCTCGATGTAGCCAGCCTGCGACAGAAGAAAGGCACAACAGCTCGTTTAGAGGGTTCATGGTTCAGTCGTGTTTGGGTTTAGGGCTTTGGGGGCCTTTAGGTGCTGCCGGGTTATGGGGGGGCCCCTAAGAGCTATATTCCTTACATCACACCTTATGCAAAACCCCCTCCACTACTTTCTGGCTCTTAGTAGGGAACGGGGGAAGTGGATTATGGACCACCATACTAAGTTTCAATTTAAGGGACTATCATAGAGATCCATTCCCCCATTCCCTACTAAGAACCAGAGTATCCTGGCTCCCCCTGCAGAACCCTTGCAGTTACCGCTTGTCGTTTTCCGTACAAAACTCCCTAGGCCCGAAAGACGATTACTATAAGCTGAGCACAAGGGTTCCTTTGAGGGTTCCATTAAGGCTTCCCTTTAAGGCTTACCTTGAGGGCTCCATGAAGGCTTCCCTTCAAGGGTTCCCTTGAGGGCTCCATGAAGGCTTCCGTTTAAGGGTTTTCTTGAGGGCTCCCCTAGACCGCTAAACCCCTAAACCCGAAACCTCTTATAGGGCCCCCAAAAAACACATAAGCAAAAATTAGGATACGGATATCCCATATAGATCCCCTTAATAAGGTAGGGACATCCCTATAAAATGCTTATGCTTATGTCCTTTTGGGGTTCCTAATCCTAAGCCCTTGGAGGGGGCGCGCCTGTGGGTCGCGGCTCAGATCCTGGAGACCAGCCTCTTGTTGGTGCCGCTGCCAATCCTCACACGCGGTCTAGGGTTGAGGGTTTAGGGTTTAGGGGTTTAGGGTTTAGGAGTTTAGGGTTTAGGGGTTTAGGGTTTAGGGGTTTAGGGTTTAGGGCTTAGGGGTCAAAAGACAATCAGGGGATACTGCAGGGAGTGGGGGTTCCAGGATAGGTCATAGACTCTGAAGGGGGATATACTGTAGCGAGTAGGGTTCTGTGGTTTTTAGAAGCTTTGTCGAATTGCTGTAGGGTTTCGTAAGGGTCGGATTTTGCAACGTTTCATGGCCAGCAGGTCGCCTAAGCCCCAAAGCCCTAAACTGGCTCAGTCTTTTCAGTCTGTACCGGCCACATGGACGGTTTAGAGTGTAGGATTTAGGGTTTAGGGTTTAGGGTTTAGGATTTAGGGTTTAGGGTTTAGGGTTTAGGGGGTTTAGGGTATCTCGAGGGGTGGGAAACTGGACTTCCTCAAACAAGCCTGAGTGACAGGTCCTTCTCAGGTCCTGATTAGGCATTGAGGCCCCCTTACGCCACTTCCCTTTAAACCCCCTAAGGGTCTCATGATTGTATTTAAAGTTGAAAGATCTTGGGTACGTCGGACAACAGATCTTTCTTACAGGGTCGGGATGGATTTCATTTCCGTGGACCTCCGACTCACAGGCATCCAGGGGGGGCTACGACGGTTTACACAAGGCTTCCTGGTTGCGCGCTTGAGTTTTCAGCGTTGGGGTTTTGGGGTTCTGGAATTTCGGTAAGGCTCAGGCGAGGTCAGGGTTGCACCTGAGCTTGGCTTTCGGGAATTTCATTCCATTCCCTGGAGCCCTAAAGCCTAAACCTTAAACTCTCTACTGGAGTCCAAATCCCTGGAGCCCTAAAGCCCTGAAGCCTACTTGGAGGATCATGGGACTTAGTAAGTCAGGTGATAAGTACCCTAATTGGGGTTATAGTTATAGTTACCTTATTCATAACCCTAGTTACTAAGTCCCATGATCCTCCAAGTAAAGCCCCAAAGCCCCAAAGATGCTGAACATCATCATCTCAGAAGGCCCTCCTCCCCCAAACCCCCCCAAAAAGGGGCCCTCAACTAGGAGAACAGGGGTATGGGGTATGGCAAAAACATACGGGTGGTTGTCAAAATTAGGGTCCCCTTTTGGGTACCCTAAATATTAGGTGCCGTATTATATTACGGACCCAAAAAGGGACCATAATTTTGACAACCACCCATATAGAGTCTGTATGGGTGCTTACTCATCATTTAGACCGCCGCTATATTAACCCTAAGCCCTGAAGCCGCTAAGCCCGAAGAAGCAGCATCTTCAATAGAAAGCGAGAGTCCAGGTCGGACTTCTCCACAGTATTCAGCACCTCAGGGTAGCCGCGCAAAAGGTACTAGGTACCGGTCGTAGATTCGGGCGTACGGTTACCGGTGAATTAGAGGTTCATAATTGCGCAGCTTGTTTTGAAGATTGGGGTTTAGGGCTTTGTGTTCTAGGAAAATCCTGAAGACACAGATCCTAAAGAACATCCGGTGGAATCTTGCGATTAACGTGCTCAGGCCCTGATCAAAAGACAAAACCCCAAGCTTGCAGCGGTAAGCCCTAATATAGGAGCCTTCATAATTAGAGTAGTGTTTTGGGTTACATTATACTATATACGAATATAACAAGGAACCCCCAAAATAGTATTGGTGATTATTTAGGCCCCTATATTAACAGCCCAAATGCTGAATCTTTTACGGTTTAGGGCCTGTTTAGGGCTTGGGGTTGAGGGTATAATGTACAGTAGGGGCCTTAATAATTAGAATAGGGTTTGGGGGCCCATTACACTATACTCGTCATAAGGAACCCCCCAAAATAGTATAGGTAATTATTTAGGCCCCTAGATTTAGGCAATGTTTCTCAGGTTTGCTCGTTTGCTTCAGGTCACGGTATGGGGGATTAGGGTTTAGGGTTTATTGGGGGCTTAAGGTTCCTTGGCCTTGTCCTTGCCGGTCCCAAGCAGGTTGTCCAAGGCGGCAAACTTCCCACCCAGCTTTGCCGACTGGCGCCTCGCAGAGACGTTTGCAAGCGCAACAAAGCGGTCGTAAGAATTTGACTAGGGTGTTGGGACGTATCATAGTATAACGAACAAAGGGACTACAAGGGGCTATGATTACGAAGTACTCATGCCTGGGGTCTTCAAAAAAAGTTTATCGGGCGCATTAGCTCCATTAGGTTTAGTGTTGAAGGAGTTGCAGGCTAGTTGCTTGTGGGCGTAGGGTCTACGGCTTACGGCTTTGGGACTAACTTTCGGTTTGCTTGAAGCATGAGGCCTAGGATTTCACGTCTTAATCTTTTGCCACAGAGAAGAAGAAAACCACATCGGCTTGCGCCCAGGATAAAGTACAGATTCGGACTGTTATTGTGGGCCTCAGCTCACCAAACATTTAGTCCACTTCTGACTGCAAGTCGCGCTCCAACTCGCATGAGTCCGACATGTTGCAGATAATTACTTCCTTGCTACAAGGTGCCCCAAACCCCCCAGCAAAAATATCCGGAAACGATGCCCGACCTCTTTTGCGACAGGAGGAACTGCCGCTCCTCTGCCGTGCCCGGCAGAAGCTGCCGCGTCACCGTCAGAGTTTCCCCGGCGAACTTCACAGATTCTTCAACCTGTACGGTCCTGAGGGATTCGCGGAGTCGTCGAGCTACGGCTAAGGCTAATTCAGGGTCGCTGTATGCAGACTCATGAATGTGGTAACAGAAGCAGCAGCGACGGCTTGAACGCTTTGTGAGCAGCCCAATACCACACGCAAAAATGCTGCCTCGCCCCCTCTAAACCCAAAACTCTAAATCCTAAAGCCCTCTAAACCCTAAGCTCTAAACCCTAAACTCGATTCTAAACCTCGACCCCCAAACCCCTCTAGACCCTAAACTAGCCCTCTGCCCTGCTCCTCATGAGCTTGGGCAGCCCGGAGGTTTCGGGACTTTGGGCAGTAAGCTCTTCTTTGGAAAAGCGCACCTTGGAGTGAACTTGCACGGGTCAGGACTCAGGGGGTCTAGGTGCTGTTCGTGAGCCATGCTATCCCCTTGCACATGCTCTGTTTTAATTTTAGAGATTCCTGCAATTTTTTGGTGGCGTCGGGGCTTTCAGGGCTTCGTATAGAGAACCTCTTTCAAAAGAACCTTTGTAGCAACCCTGCCAGATCCTGAAGGGGCAGGGCTTATGAGTTCCTGTGTGGTAACGGAGTCTCCAAAAAGGTTGCATAGGGCTTCAGCTTCAGGATTGTAGGGTTTAGGGCTTGTTGATTTTGATAGGGTGTCTATCAAGTTCGGGGCTTTCAAGAAAAAAATCCCGAAACCCTAACTTAACCCGAAACCCTGAACCCTGTAGGCTTTGAAGCGCATCAGGTTGAGAGGTTGGGATTTGCACGTCGCGTGTATGTAGAAAGCTTCATGGTGAATTACACGCGACTTCCCTGTCTGGGCCCAGAGCAGTACCCCTGAGAGTATCCTACAAGGACCTTGCATCCAAAATCTCTGAACCACGCACCCTCAACCAACTTCCAACCATACATGCTCCCTGAATTCAGGGTCTAGGCTTTGGCTCTGAAGAGACCACGAATCGGACATGCCTCGACCCGACCGCAGTGAACACCCAAGGGACTTTCCGCTTCATCTCCGCTGTCGACGGCTGCGCGTCTCCGGTCGACAAGTTGCTGAACTTGACCTAAACAGTGAAGCACGACGGGGCTGACGCTCTGCTTCTCCCCGTCCCTCTCCCTCTCTCTCTGTCCCTCTCTGTCTCTTTCTGCCTCCCTCTCTCTCCATCTCTCACTCTCTCTCTCTCTCTCTCTGTCGCTCTGGCTCGGGCTCCGCCATCTTGGAGTTGGCACAGAGGAACCCCCACATTTTGCCTGGGACTCGATGGCCTGGCCGATATCAAGCCGAAGGCATGATATCTGCTTGATATCAGCTGGCCAGCTTTTGGGTGCTTTACTGGTAGCAAGGCTTATGACTGAAATCAGGCAGTTTGAAAAGAGTGCATCTCCAACATAAGTTAAGAAGCCTGCCAAAGCCTTGAGGCCTTAACCCTAAAGCCCTGTGGTGAGGCCGAGCCACCACCTCTGCCAAGATGTTGGACTTGCTCACTCTGGGCTGCGGTCTTACCACGCTCGAGGTGGTCTGTCCAGCGTCCTGCCGCCAGGATTCTGAACAGAGGGACTGGCGTTATTTTAGGGGCCTGAAAAAATATTTGGAAAAGGGTTTTGGGGTATATTTTACTGTAATTACCATAAGGACCTCCCGCCAAAAAAAACAGTATCAACTAGGTAATTGTTATAAGGCCGCTATATTAAGCGGCTTGCATACCGGCTTTCCGGCGTTGGGAGTCTTCTCAGGTCCTCGCGCGAGCGCTTCTTGAGCTCGCGAATTGACAGGCTGTTGTCGTCGGTGTCCTTTACCTGCGAGGTGCGGTTTAGGGTTTGGGGTTTAGGGTGTAATATAGGGGCCTTAATAATTACCTATACTATTTTGGGGGGTTCCTTCATATGACTATACTATAAAGGACCCCAAAACCCTATTCAAATTATTAAGGCCCTTACATTAGGGTTTAGGGTTTAGGGTTTGAAACCTCCACAGGTTGGATGTCATGCATGCCTGACCATACTTCGCGATCTGCGCGACGACGGCCAGACAGTTCTTTGCCGGAGCAATCTTTGCCTGTAGGTGCCACGCAACCCAGTGAGAGGGTTCATGGGAGATTTTATGGTTCGCAGTATCCTTCCTTCCTTGAGCAACCCGAACATACCCAGATACACGCCATCTGAATTGAGGATTTTAGGGCGCACGGGGCTTTGTTAAAGGCTTTTTGCATGAGTCCGAAGCGTTAACGTTTAGGGTGCCAGCGTGTGCCGCCTTCACATTGCTGCATGACCATAAGTCCCAAGTAGCTGTGTAGCTGTGTGTCTAAACAAGGCTGATGGAACAGCAAGCTCACTCACCAACCGGCTGGTGCACGGCAGCACATGCCAGAACCCTTGCTCCAAACCCGACCCCACGAGGGCCGAGTAAAGCCTAGCATTATACCCTAAACCCCCGAGCCTAGCTAGATACATAGGGGCAATAATATGAAACAAACCCCTAAACGCCCCCAGGGCAGAACGGGTGCTTTCGTGGGTTGAGGCTGCTGAAGCGTGCGGAAGAGGAGGTCCGAGCAAGGACGCCGCACCCACTTCTTCGCTTCTTCTGCCTCCTGCTGCTTAAGTTAAGGCTTACAGTAAGCGCCCTTAGAACCACAACACAAAACCTTGTCTTACATTGTCCCTTGGAGCTTTATTGTTATAAGAAACGATCTCCGAAGAACACTAAAGTCTTAGGAAGTCGGACGAAGGAGCTTGAGGCATAGATTTCTAGTCCGGTTTCGAGGTTGGGGTTAAGGTTCACTTGCTTAGACTTAGCTTAACCCTGGGATCCTTATGCAGACCTACTATATACCCTATGTGCACCTTTACAAGGGTCCCTAGAAAGGCCCAAGGGTCCATATCAGGGGCCCATACTTCGAACCTTAGATTCAGACAAATGCATTTAGGTCGCTTAGGGCTTAGACTTGGGTGCAAGCGCTTGCATCTGGGCTCTTCTATGATCTATTAAAGGCTCAAAGAGATAAAGGCCACAGGCTTCAGCCGCAAACACGATGTTCAAACTAGGGCCCTGGCGTATTATCCTGATCCAATGTACGAGTTATGCAACTCTCAAAACACATGAATACTGGAACCTTTACCCACTCCCTACAGGTTTAAGGTTTATCCCTAAACCCTAAACCCCTAAATCTAAACTCCCAAAATCCCTTAACCCTCAACTCGTTTAGTTTAATTAAGGGGGGGGCTCCTGCTTCTGCATCTCTTCCCACGTCTGCTCGGCCAGTTGCCCGCGCGTGCGCCGCGCTTGAGCGCTCGAGGCGGCTTCCTTTCTCAGCCGCTTTGGTGCCGGCTCGGCCTGTGTCCAGGGTTTAGGGTAGATGGTCTGGGGCCTAGGGTTTGGGGTTGAGGGTTAAAGGCTTTCGGCAGGCTTGCTGCAAGTGGCTGGGCGGAGTTTTTTCGGACTCGCTGCATGCTTGCCGGTAGCAACTACTGCGGGGTGTCGAAGGCTTCACCCGACCTCAACCCTAAAAACTCCAAAAGCTAAAATCGACAAGTCCCAACACCTGGACCTAGACTCCCTCACTCCAAAAACAAAAACCCCATACTAACCCGATGTACAGGCCGCAACACCTCTCGAAATTCACAGCAGGGAATCCTTAGGAACGAGTCCGCGTGCACAAAGCCTTTGCCTAGGACCGTGGATTGCATGTTTGCTTTTTAAAAGATTCATCCCTGTGCCAAAATGCTCGGGGGCAGCCAACACCAACGACTGCCTCAAGACTCATGATGTTTTCGGCTTCAGAAGCCCTACATCGTTACAGCCCAAGTTACACACGCATGCAAAGACCACCTCATTTCTATCATCGCTATGGCACATCAAAACTCCAAACCCTACATCCCACCTGGACCCTGTAAAACCCTCCTTTTCTAGGGCTCCCCATTATGCTTTCCGAACATAAATCCTTGAAGAAGTAGGTTATTAGGGTTCTGGGTGAACCCTACAACCCTACGTCCCCCAAACCCTCCTAAAACCTAACCCTACCCTTCCATCCGCGCCTCGGCTTCATAGTCCTTGTCCTCAGCCCCAGCTGGCTGCTCCGGCCCCCCAACCCTAACCCTAAACCCTGAACCCTAAACCCTAAACCCCAAACCTAAACCCTAAACCCTAAACCCTAAACCCTAAGCCTCGACCCTAAACCCTAAACCCCTACTATCAGGGTTCTAAATACCGGCTTCTAGGGCTTTCAGGGCCGTAATCTTTCGAGACAAACTCGGAAAGCAACCTTCGCCAGGCCCCGAGATGTAAACAGCACATGTGGACTCTCTGCCAGGGCTTTCGGGCTTATCGAGTTTAGGACTTAGGTCTTAGGGAGTGATTATAGGGTTTAGGGGTTATAGGGTTTTGATTAATGGTATCGACGCAAAGTTTTCGCGACGACAAGAAGGCGGCCACCAAATCAACGCGCTTACGCGGGTGTCTCCTTTCTGATTCCACGTTCTGGCGACTATTAGCCTTGTCCTTGCCAGCCCAATCGTTTCATCTCTGCTAAGCAATGTCCTCTTCGATATTTCCTGTCCACTGTGCAGGTCGTTCATGTGTGCTTCTTATTTCCTTCACCTTTCACCGTACGCATGGCTGGTGCTAATTGCTCAAGGATCGGAACTTGAGCATTCGACACAAATTAGGTTTACAAGGGTTTGGGTTTGGATTTATACGAGGTTAAGGGTTTAGGGCTTACTATGAATCCCAAACCACATAAACAACTCCAAGTACTCACATCGCCATGGGTCTTCCGGATCTGAGTCGGGGAAGACGGCCGTGGCCAGGGTCACCATCTCCGTCGGGGCGTCGACAGGTGGGAAAGCTGATCTCAGGTGCTTTCTGGGGTCTTGCTACAACAACTCCGAGTTAGGGTGCTATGGGCTGAGTTTAGATCAACCCCTACAGATCTGAACAAGGGATGAGGGGCTGAGGGCGTAGGGTGTGCGAAGCTTCGGCTGAGAATCCTTTCAAAAACCTACTTGCCATTCTGCTCCTCCCTAGCTTCGGCAAAAGCTTTAGATGCACCTGAGCCTCGGAGTGGGGAGTTTCGTGGCTCTTGCCTGGTGTCGATTTCAGACTTTCAGAAGCTGTGTGCGCTATCTTGTCCGTCGAGCCTGAACAGCTGCAGCTCTTTGTCGCTTCCGCTCTCTACCCTAAACCCTAAACCCCTAAACCCTAGCAGTCAAGCCCATCCCAATCCCCGCTGCTACCAGGCCCCTTCCATGCACCCAGGGCCAAAGACTGAAGTTCCCACAAGAGAGGTCTATCCCCTAAAGTTGGGAACAGTTCGTATCTAAGGTTGAACCCATGGCCCCTAGTATGGGCCCTTAACCCTGGGATCCCTATACACCTACTATATACCCTATATGCGCCCTTAAGGGTCCCTAGAAAGGCCTGCCTAAGGGTCCATATAAGGGGCCATACTTCTAACCTTAGACCGTAGCTCATATAGGATCCTGTATAACAGGTAATCAAGGAAAGGAATTTCACGCTACGTGGCTCAAGGACGGGGCTGGCACTCTGTGGGCCTGGACTGAGCCTGAACCTCACACCAGCAACGGTTTAGGGTTTAGGGTTTAGGGTTTAGGGTTTAGGGTTTAGGGTCTCTCTCTCTCTCTCTCTCCAGCGTACCTTGTCGTATGCCTTCTGGCACTCGTCGTCGCAGTTGAACAAGCCTCCCGAGACCCAAGACCCCCGAAACCGAGGCCAAGACAGCCTGAAAGGGCGACTGTTCTATGTGGTTGTGAGGGTTTCGGCTTTAGTGTAGGTTAATCGGCAAACGATGCAAGTCCGAATAATGAGTGGGACTGTCCCTCCTTGATCCCAGAACCCTGAAGGCCTACAGGTCTAGGTCACGGAAGACAAACAGCGGGAGGATGGGGACTGTGAGGACCGCAAGGCAACACGAAACAAGAGCCAGAGCTAACGTTCTGTGTCGCAGAGCTATTCTGGTATATGTTTTTCTCTTTTCCCTTTCCCGAAACCCTTAATCGAAATCCCTGAACTCCCTCAACCCCTCTCTCCCCTACAGAAAAAACTGGATCCTAACACTCTAAGTCCAAAAACGCCACAAAAGACCCTCAACCCTGATAGAGTTTCCTAAACCTCACCGAAGACCCTCCAATTTCTACCCCCCACAGAAGGCCCTGAAACCTGAAACTCTACAAGACCCTAAACCCTAAAGCCCCAAACGCCCTCAAGCCTAAAACCTGAAACTCTAACCCCGCCTAAACCCTAAGGCTTAAAACCCTCAGGCCCTAACACCTAAAGCTGTAACTCCCCTTAACCCTAAAGGCCCTAAAGCCATAAACCCCTATAGACCCTAAACCCTAATCCTAAACCCTAAACTCTAAAGCCCTAAAGGCCCTGAAGCCCGTAAACTCTAACCGAAGAAGCCCTGAGTTCTGCCTTTCTGACTGAAGTAAGCAGCCTCGGCTTTCCTTGCAGTCGTCGGCGCTAACGTATTCAGGTCCAGGGTTTAGGGGTTTAGGGGTTTAGGGTTTAGGGGTTTAAGGCTAGGGGCCTAAATAATTACCCATACTATTTTTTGTTCTTCTTTGGGGTGGTTCCTTAGTATAGTTAAAGTACAATGGGCCTCAAAACCCTATTTATAAACCCATACTATTTTGGGGGTTCCTTATTATAATATAATTAAAGTACAATGGGCCCTATTTATAAACCAACCGGCGTGGACTGCTGAAGAAAGCTTCCTTGTTTTGTTCAAACAGGGCTTGGGCTGAGTTTTGCTATTTTGTGAGCGCCTTTTTGGCTGTCTGCCTAAAGTGTCTCCACTAAAGGGGATCCCAACCCATTTGGGTGGGCACGAGGGTTTGGGGCTTGCAGGAATTACGTAGGATTTGTGCGCTGAAGCTTTTGTGGCTTTAAAGCATCTCGGGCTTTAGGGTGCGGTGGCAAGGTCCGGGGTTGGGGGAAGCTTGGAAATAGGGAATCGGAGTGCTTCAGGAATTTCCTCCGCCTGCGGCCCGAGGGTGTCCTTATCGCTGTGCTGATGAAGATAGGGTTAGCAGAGGGATAAGGCTTTAAGGCTTCTAACTCTAGGGTTCGAGGCGGGTTTGCCAAGGACGACCGGATAACTCATCGAACAACTGCCCACTGCATATCAGAAACAGGACCAGGTGTCAAGGACAGGGGCTCATACAAACCACCAACATTGAATCACAAACAAGCCTTGGCCCTCATCGCACCCCCAAGTCACCTTGAAAGTGTGATCGTCACTCATAGTTGTTGTTTAGACATACATCCTCCGCCATGATCAGAACTGCTCAAGTACTAGTTGTAGCCGACAAAACTCCGAGCAACTTCCCCAACCCTGCACACAGATCTCAACTTCCCACAACTCTAAGCAGCAGGACCTCAGATCCCACCAAAAGCTTTCAACAATAGAGCAGAACCCCACAGCCATAAACGCCCTAAGCCCGAAACCGTAAACAGTGAACCCTAGACCCTGAACCCAAACCCCTGAACCCTAAACCCTAAACCCTCAACCCTGAACCCTAAACCCTAAACACTATAAACCCTAAACCTTGAGACCCTCAAAAATAAGGTGCAGGCCGGGCATCTGAAGCTCTGCCATTGCCTGCTGCCCGAGCTCACGGCTGTCGATGACCTCTGCTTGCTGCAGCATGGTGCTGTACCTTGGAGTTTAGGGTGTTGGATTGAAGGGGTTGGGGTTTAGGAGTTTAGGGCAGTTACCTTGGAGTTTAGGATTTCGGGTTTACGGGTGTGGGATTTAAGGGGTTGGGGTTTAGGGGTGTTTTGCAGTTTAGGGTTTGGGGTACCTTGGCTTCTACGATTTTGGGGTTTGTGGATTCCCGGTTGAAGAGGCAAGGCGTCTTGTTAGATGGCGTGGGGTTATGTCGGAGTTGAAACAGTTGCCCAGGGTTTGCTGGGGTATGGGCGGCTCGCAGAACTCGAAATTGTGAGATCTGGGCTTTTTTGCATTTAGACTGGCAGGTCACTGATAAACCCACATTCGTTAAGGGCGTTGAAGTTGGGGCAGAGCCAGATGGCGGGGTCGGCGCCACCGGTGTTCAGTTGATAAGTGTCACTCGTTCTCAGAGTAAAAACCATGGTCGAAGAAGTTTGCAGCATGAAAACCGATCGACCCCACACTCTAAACCGAGCCTTGTAAAGCCCTCTAAACTCACCAGTAGAAACCTAAGCACCCTAAAAGCCTAAACCCCAAGATTTTCCTGCCCTAAACCCAAAGCCCCAAACCTCGAAAATGCCCTAAAGCCTATAAGCTTCAGCAACGCCCGGAAATTCTGAGGCGAGGCTTTTGGAGCCCAAGGCGCGCTTCTTCCGCAACATGGTCCTTGCTTCGAGGAACGGTCCGCCCCAGAGAGGCCAAGGAGATTTTTGTGGTCAGGACTTGGGGGTTCAGGGTTTAGGGGTTTAGGGGTTCAGGGGTTTAGGGGTTTAGGGGTTTGGGGGTTCAGGGCTTAGGGGTTAAGGGGTTTAAGGTTCAGGGTCTAGGGCTTATAGGGCTTAGGGTGTAGGGGTTCCAGGGTTAGGGGTTTAGGGCTTAGGAAAGTCTAGGGTCTAGGAGCTTCTGGGTCAGGACTTAAGGGCTTCGGGTTTGAAGGCTTGTGGATTTAAGGCTAAGGCTTCGAGGGTTTAGGCTTTAGGGGTTTGAGGGTTCAGGGTTTTTGGGCCTCTTTGGGGGTTGGTTTGCGTTGAGCTTATGGAGGCCTCAGGGCTTGTGTAGGGCATTGCGATTAGGGTGCCCCCCCGCGATGAAGGCTTGGACGAACATTTGCAGGTCCCGCAACATCCACTCCCAAGTGATAAATCAAAACGTACCCAGGATCCAGGATCTAGCCTGTTTTGGTATATTCTGTTTGTTGCCGGTTCAGGGTTCATGGAGGTCCTTGTCAAGCCAATACCAGAAGTCATATCCAGTTGCTCTTACCAGGGATCCTGATTCATCACAGCACAGTACCGTCTTAACCAAAACTGCACTGACATAGGAGAAGACAAAGAACATATATCAACAACAATGAAAACTGAAGCCGCTTTTCTGCCACTTTCCACTCGTTGGTTTGTTGTCTATAATTGGTGTCCCAGGCCCTCCTTGACCCTTAAACCCCAAACCACACAACACGCAACCTTAAACCCTAAACCCCTAAACCCTATAAAGCCTCAACCCTAAACCCCTAAACCCCAGACCCCTAACCCTAAACCCCTAAACCCTATAAACCCTCAACCCTAAACCGCTAAACCCCAAACCCCTAATCCTAAACCCCTCAACCCTAAACCCTCAACTCTCAACCCTGAACCCCGAAACCCCAGACCACTAATCCTAAACCCCTAAACCCTAGACCACTAATCCTAAACCTCTAAACCCCAAACCACTAATCCTAAACCCTAAACCCTATAAACCCTCAACCCTAAACCCTAAACCCCTAAACCCCAAACCACTAATCCTAAACCCCTCAACCCTATAAACCCTCAACCCTAAACCCCTAAACCCCTAAACCACTAAACCCCAAACCACTAATCCTAAACCCCTAAACCCTATAAACCCTCAACCCTAAACCCCTCAACCCCAAACCGCTAATCCTAGACACCTGAACCCTAAACAAAAAAAGCCTCAGCCCAGCGTCCACCGGCAGTCCGCCGGCAAAAGCGGCGATGAGGAGCCCAAGGCCCCAAAAAGAGACCAAGACGGGTCGATTCATGACGATGCCCTTGGGAGTTAGGGCTTTTAGGGTTTAGGGTTTAGGGTTTAGGGTTTAGGCTTTAGGGTTTAGGGTTTAGAGTTTAGGGTTTAGGGTTTAGGGTTTAGGGTTGAGGGCTTAGGCTTTAGGGCTTTTAGGGCTTAGGCTTTAGGGCTCAGGGTCTAGGGTTCGGGAGTTTGGGTTTAGGGTTTAGGCTTTATAGGGCTCAGGGTCTAGGGTTTAGGATTTACGGTTTTGGGCTCAGGGTTGAGGGGTTTAGGGTTTAGGAGCTTCGAATGGGGGTTTAGGAGCCTTTATAGGGGTTTTGGATGTAGAGCTTTTGAGTTTAAGGGTTCGGAGGTCCCATGGTTTAGGATTTGGAACTAGAGCCTTACAGTTTAGGGGCTTAGGGGTTAGCACAAAGGGATCTTACTGTAAGCTTCTGTCGATAGGTTTCTGTGTTGAGGGATTGTGTACCCGTTGGGAGTTGAACCCTAAACCCTGAACCCTAGTGAACCACCCCTAAACCCTAAACCCTATAAGCCCGAGAAACCTTATAAACTCCAAACCCCTATAAACCCTATAAGCCCTATAAGCCCTACAAGCCCTATAAGCCCTGTAAGCCCTATAAGCCCTATAAGCCCTATAAACCCTATAAGCCCTATAAGCCCTATACACCCTATAAGCCCTACAAGCCCTATAAGCCCTATACACCCTATAAACCAAAAAAACCCTAAGGAGTTGGGGAGCGTTGATCTTCGAGCTTCGGGGTTCACAGTTGAGGGTCTGGGTTTAGGGTTTGGGTTTAGGGTTTAGGGGTTCAGACTCTTTGGGCTAAGGGCTTAGGAGAGATTGGTGGCTGGTCTGGCCCCTAAACCCTAAATCCATGAACCTCCAAATATGACCCGTTATAGACCCCTTATAGGAACCCTTATAGAGCCCTTATAGAACCCTCTTATAGATCCCTCCAAGGAGCCTTACCCGACACCTCAAATCCCCAAGCCCTAAACCTTCGACGGACCCGTTTTGAGATGCTTAGGGGTTCAAGACCAGAAGCCTCAAATTTTTGGGCTGCCTATAACCACCAGCGAGGGCAGCCAGAAAAATACAAAACACAATGCCACATTGCCCTAAACCGCAACACCCGGACTCTAAAATCAGCCCATCTCCCAGGGAGGCACCTTGGCCGTAGCCATGGCAATGGCAGGCACATCCATGTTCCTGGGATATGGTAGATTTGGATTTCGCTTGATTTTGCCACAAACTAAAATACTACTACAGAATGCTATAGTACTAGTAGAGCATTATGATAATAGTCTAGAATTTAGGATTATTATTATGATCATTGGTATGATTACCAATGTAGGTTTGGGATTTGAAGACAAGGGATGGTAGTGTTTGGGTTTCGAGAGCTCAGGCTTCTCAGGGCTGCAGCAACTAATTAAACGACGGACTCGTAACAATGGTCCGCCCCCTGCTCTTCTGTAAATGCACACATATATATATATATAATATACATATATACATATATATTATACATATATGTATAATATACATATATATATATATATATTGTAATATATAATATATACATATATTTATATATATATATATCATATACATATATATATATATATATGTATATACACACACACACACGCTTTTTTTTGCCCCCACCCCCTCGCCCTGTTGCTCTGCTTCGGCATCCTGGGCGGTTCGTGTTCTGGGACCACCGAAAGCTCCCACCGGCAAAGCGCTTCCCAGCTTCCCAGCTTCCCAGCTGCGAATGCATGTGGGTAGTTTTCTAAATTAGGGTCCCTTTTTAGGTCCCCACTATAGTACGGCACCCTTATAAAAAGGGACCCAGAAAAGGGATCCTAATTTAGAGCACTACCCATGTAGGCTTGGCGCTTTTGGGACCGCGCCTTTCGGCTGGACGTCTATAAGCTCTTGAGACTTCAACTGGGACTTGCTGCGAGCCTCCGAGTCCTGAGGGCGAGGAGTTACCTCCAACATCCGTTGGATCTTTGTCGCGACGACAATCGGGCTTGAGTAATCATCGGCCGTGCTGACTTGTAGGAACTGGCCGACGAAGAAGTAAGCACCATGGCGTAGTACTGCCAGTAGTGTGTCACCGTCCTATACATATCGATATAGTATCAAGGGTGATGCAGTTACGCGGAGTATGAAAAATAATAGGATGATCAGGACGAGGAGGAGGAGGAAGACGAAGCGGAAGGGGAGAAGCAGGAGCGGTAGGAGGAGGAGGAGGAAGAAGAGGAGGAAGAAGGATACAGCAGGATAGGACATGAACCGGAATCCTTGAAGCCAACATGTAAAGAGGAGCGCCCTGAGTTTGCTCCGAAAGCTGTGGCAGAATACGTGTTTTACACCTCACCTTGTCGTTGACATGCCGTGGGCGAGTGGCCCTATCCACGAATTCTCATGCAAACTCTGCAGTTTGAGAGTGTAGTGTAGCAACTACTGGTTCTCTCGATAGGCTTTGAGTGGCTCGTGCTCTTGCTGAAGCACTGCAGCGTCGCCTTGCTTGGCTTCAAGTAAGCTGCTCTTGCGCATACACAGTTAATCAGCAGCGGCAGCAGCGGCAGCGGCGAAGCAGCACGATATCGCCATCAGCAGCACTATACCAGAAGGCCTTACAGTAAACAAAACCAACTCGACGTCCTAAAGCACGACGGCAAACCCTGACCCGGAAGCCCTCAACTCTCAACCCTACTGCTCTAAACCTAAACCCGCCTTTAAAGCTCTACGCCGGAAAAATCCTGAAACCTTCAATCCGAAACCGGTGCCAACCTGCTTTAATTTTCTGAAAACACCCTGTAATGCCAAGCACCCTGGAATAACCCCGAGCTCCAACGTTCGAAGCAAAGACTTCGCCAAAGTTCACCCACTTCTGCAGCATCTCCAACTTCTCTTCGCGACCTTTCCAGGCTCGGGAAGGGCTGTCCGTAAAGGGGAGTTCTTCAGAATTTCTATGGGGCTTAAACGATTTTGGAGAATTGCATGAAGGCTCTATAGGCTCTATAAGGGCCTTAGAGGAATGATGCAGGTTTCGGGGTTTCGGCTTTTAGGGTATAGGGTTTCAGAGCTCTAGTTTACCATAAGGTTTACTCCAGGGCTCGAACAGGAGCTAAGCGGATTTAGGGTTTGTGTCTGCTAGGCTTGGGGCTGCACAGGTTTAGGCTTCTGGAATTAGAAAATGGATTCTAGCTTAGGTTGTCAATGGTAGGCTGTCGGAGGAACTGCGAGGGCATAGCATATCCTCTCGCTTAGTTCAAAAGTCTGCAGCTTCTGTGCCTAAACCCTAAACCCTAATGGGTCTTTGTTTACGTCACGCTGCGGGGCCACGCCATTCGGATTTCGGGGGTGGAAGGCACAGGTTCTGTGGGGCGTAGGAGTGTGGAGTTTAGGGTTTAGGGTTTATAGGGTTTAGAGTTTCGAGTTTAGGGTATGGGGTTTAGGGTTTAGGGTTTAGGGTTAGGGGTTGGGGTTTAGCAGGCTGGAGTCAGAGTTTACGGTTTGGGGTGCGGCATTAGGAGGGTCTTTTTGGGTTGGACTTTTAGCTCAAGCGCCCTTCGAACCACAACAGACAACATTTTCGAAGAACCCGTTGGAGTCTTATCATCATACCCAGAGCACTAAAGTCAGAGAGCTCTCAACAGGTTCTCCAAGGCCTTCTACGCTGTGACAGAGGTCCTTAGTGCCGAACTAGATGATTGAATGCGGCTTTGTTCGAGACGTTATGATACAGTTACCTGAGACCTTACATGAAATTCCGAAAGCCCTTAAACTCAAAATCCTAAACTCATCAATCCTGAATCGGATTTTCCGCGGCCCCTGAACCCCTCAGTGTTGAGCCAGGGGGCTACAGGAGTCAAAATCCTCCCACTGCTGCAGTTGCAAAGCGTCGTCCGGGGCGTATGCCTTGGGTTTCGTCATCTCCTTGGTGGCTTACTTGGGATTTAAGACTGAGTGTGTAGTAGTCTGGGATTATGCGATTCGGGCTTAGGGGGTTTGTGTGGGCTCGGCTTCAATCGCATACTGCTGAGCCGGGCCTTAAGCTGTATGAGGTTGGGGAACACAAGGCATTGGCGCCAGCCCCTTCCCGTCTCGGCGGACTTCATAGTAACAGTAATTTAATCACAACGTTAATACTAATCATGCAAAAGAAAAATGCGATAAATCCCTAATCTCTGCAGACCAGACCTACTGCACAGCCAGGCAGCGGGATTCAATGCTTCCTTTACTCTGCGTCCTCCGCGTTCGATTTCGGATCTAGACAGTCACACTACAAGCCATGGTGAGTATCACGGCGCACTTTTAAGGTTGGCTACCAGTAAAAACTCAAATCGAAAGCAACACAAAGGCTCCAACGGGGTTCCCCAAGACAGCCGGTGAAGCTTCAGAGCTCACAGTCTGCCCGAACCCCGAACAAACTATACTAGCTGACGCGAAGATCCTATACCATTGGGATCCGAGGCGCGACCCCGTCCATGGCGGCACCAGTCAGCAGTGAAAAATTCCAAAAGCCAACAGTCTGCCCCAAAAACCGTAAAGCCCTAAGTCTAGATGCAAAGCTCTCCGTTGAAATCCTGGGGGGTAGTTTGTATACCGGATGGTTATGGACGCCAGGGGTCAAGGAATGTAACTCCGAAAATGTCTGCACACCCAAATCTCGACAAACACAACGATGGTCTGTCGGAGCACGCGGCTCTACGTTCCCGTATCCCTGGCTTGGCCCAACATGTCATGCACCAGGCAGTCATCATCATGACTCTGAATTGCACACCAACCCTCCCTCCCCAAGTTGATAACCTTTGGGATGAGAGTAATGTAGGGGCCTTAGTAATTAGCATAGGGTTTTGGGGCCCTTATAGTATAAATATAATAAGGAGGCCCGAAAATACTGTAGGTAATTACTAAGGCCCCTATTTTACCCCACAAAATGGTTCAAGGTTACCTACCCTACTACTCAACAAAGACTCTGCTCAACCAAAACCTCAAAGCCCAAGGAAGCCCGTTGATACCAAAGTCTCGCATACCTATGAACCCTTACACTATGGGCTTTAGCGCACCTTGCACTGCTGTTGATGAAATAAATCCTGCAGTCTAGCATAATTCTCACAGTTTAGGGCCTTGAAGGTACTGCAGGATTTATATCATGAACTGCATCAGTCTCAAGGGTTCAAGCTACATGTTGAAGCTATAGCAGAAACCAGAAAGTTGGCACATCAATATCCTCATGCCCTTAAGGTAAAGTATAACGGATCCTAGCACCAGTCCTCCGAAACCCATGTTCCAACTTTCTGGGGTTCACTGTATAGTTACCCTGCCTCTGAAACCCGAGAGGACAAACGACTGACACCCTAAACCCCTAAACACCTAACTCTGAATAGGGGCCTGAATAATTAGAACGGGGTTTTGGGGCCCATCATACCATAGCCCCCAAAATAAACCAAACCCTCCAGCACCCCCCCAAGTACCCTCCAATAGAGCCCTTATGGTCCTCAATAGTGGGTATTCAGGATAGAACAGAGGGTAGTTGAGGGGTGCTGGTAAACCCTGACACCCGAAACCCCCAACGTCCCTGAACTCATACGCCCTAGGCGCCCAATAGACTTCGAACCTCGGAAGCCACACCACATCCCCTACACGCCTCAGTATAGGGGCCTTCATAATTAGAACAGTGTCTTGCGGTATATATATATATATTTATTTATATATATTTATATACATGCTAAAGTAACCCTAAGGACCAATGTAGGCCATTTTTCATTCATTGCTTCTTGACTAAGCCCTAAAACCCAAGACCGCCCCTCACAAAACAGCCGGCGATGCTGGGCCAACGGTTTCAGACGGTAAGTGAGCCTAATATATATATATATATACACATACATATTATATATATATATATATATGTATATATACATATGTAGACATAAATATATGTATATTTTTAGAGGCTCTAAGTAGGAGGATGCTTCTAGGAAGGACCCCTACATGCAAGAATTCTAGTTCAACTCTCGTTGAAAGCCGCATATGCAACTTGTGAAACACAAACAACCTGTAAACCAACCCTGTTAAACTGTTAACAAACAAGAATGAACAACACGGAACACCCCTGTAAAACAACAAATGCCAGACTATAAAAACCCTATAAGCGATTTAAATTGCCCGTACTCATTTCCCTAAACCCTAAACCCTAAAACCCTGAAGCCCTAAAGCCCTAAACCCTAAACACTAAGACCGAAAAGCCCTAAAACCCTAAACCCCAAACCCAAAACCCTAAAACCCTAAACCCTAAAACCCTGAACCCTAAACCTTTTATGCAGGCAGAAAAGGAGCGATGCACTTTTCCGGCCTAGAGCTGCCTCAGAGTCTTTGGAAAGCCTCGGGGAGGAGTTGGGCCTCGCAAAAACCATGCGAACAATTAAAGCCTAAACCCTAAACCCTAACTCCTAAACCCTAGAACCCTAGAACCCTAAACTCTAAATCCTAACTCCTAAACCCTAGAAGCCTAAACCTTAAATCCTAAACCCTAAAACCCCAAACCCAGAACCCTGAACCCACGCTTTTAGGGCTTAGGGTCTCTAGGGTTTCAGGGCTTCGGGTCTACAGGGTTTGAGGGCTGAGGAGTCGAGGATTTGAGCTCCAAGCGTAGGGTTCGGAGTTTCTAAAGCTCTGAACGGGGTTTAGGGGCTTAGAGTTTAGGGGTTCAGGGTTTAGGGATGGGTTCAGGGTTGAGGGTGTAGGGTTCGGAGTTTATAACGTTGCAGGTTTCGGGTTTGAAATTTGGGGCCTTTCCTGATTTTTGCGATGCCCGCTGCCCGAAGGAGCAGTGTACTATAGGGGCCTTAATAATTAGAATAGGGTTTTGGGGTACATTATACTATAAGCATAAAAAGGGACCCCCCTCCCCCCAAAAAATACCCCCAAAAAATAAATAAGATAATGTAGGTAGTTATTGAGGCCCCTATATTACACTTGAGAGTGCGCGGCGCCTTCCGAATGCAGGCATGAGCCATGCGGTGTCTCGCCCTGTTTGACAGCAAGCCATTGCAGAAGATATCGGCCTGAACCCTAAGGGTTTAGGGTTTAGGGTTTAGGGTTTAGGGGACATTTTCAGGTGGGTGGTTACCGTTATAGGAGCCTTATTATGTATACCTTATATAAGCCTTATAGAAGCCCAATATACCCTAAAACTCACCACGGGTAGTTTCCTTTAACCAGACCCTAAACCCCTAGCACTGGAGCCACGCATCCAAGCATCGGGGCCAAACCTCCCAATCCAAAGATCTGTGGAAGGAAAATGATAGAGGGGCCTGAAATATTGAACCCCGTAAGCAGAAATAGGATTTGATAGGGTTCCTTCGACAGGGTTCCTTCGACAGGGTTCCATAACGAGGGTTTAAACCCCAAGCCCTCAATATTGAAAGGGTTCAGTGCAGGGCTCTCGCCCGGGTCAATCACAAGGCCCGCTCGAAGACATGGGCGGCGTCAGGGCAAATCCTGGACGCTTTCGGCTTCAAGTTTGGTTTCGAGTTCAGGGTTTATGCGTTTTAGGGGTTTGGTGGCTTTTAGGGTTTGGTGGATTTTGGGTATTGTCTGTTTCGAGAAAATTACAGGCTTAGGGGGTTCGTGTACTGAGGATCGTAGTAGCTAGGGGCTAAAGTAGGGGTTTAGGGTTTATAGGGTTTCTAGGGTTTAGGGTTTATAGGGGTTTAGGGTTTATAGGGCTTTAGGGCTTATAGGGGTTTAGGGTTTATAGGGGTTTAGGGTTTATAGGGTTTAGGGTTTAGAGGGGTCTAGGGTTTAGGATTTAGGGGTTTGGGGTCTTCATGGCAACCGGCAGCCCTTTAAAACAACCGGCCCGGACCCTATAAACTTCTAGAGTCCTTGTCGTTCTTCTTTAAAGGGGGTGAGGGTTCAGGGTGTACAGCTACGAGGCGCCATAACCCATCCTTGAGTGCCCCAAACCCTAAACCCTAAACCCTGCGAGCCCTAGAACCCCTGTTTTGAAGTACCCCAGTCCCCAAATCCAAAACCCTAAACCCTAAACCCCAAATCCTAAACCCTAAACCCTAAACCCCAAATCCAAAACCCTGAACCCTAATCCAAAATCCTAAACCCTGAACCCTAAACCAAAATCCTACACCCTACACCCTAAACCAAAATCCTAAACCCTAAACTTTAGCCGGACCTTTCATTCACCGGCCTTTGGGGAGGTCCTTGGCTTCGTGGGCTTCTCGGAGCGCTCCCTGGAAAATTCCTACGGCGCGCACCCGCCACCTGGCGAACAGTTGCTTAGGGCTTTTAGGGTTCTTTGAAAGAAGGGTTTCGGGCTTTTTAGGGCTCCTTGAGAAAGAAGGGTTTAGGGTTTAGGGGGGTTCCTTGAAATAAGGATTTGGGGTTTAGGGGAGGTCCTTGAAATAAGGGTTCAGGGTTTAGGGTTTGGGGTTTGGGGTTGAGGGGTTTAGGGTTTGGGGTTTAGGGGGGTTCCTTGAAAGAAGGGTCGCTGTGGGGCTCAAGGCCCCCAGAATCGCGCTTGAGGCCTCAAGGTGTTGGTGTTGAGGGTTTTAGGGACGGTTAGGGTTTAGGGTTCAGGGTTTAGGGTTTAGGGTTTAGGGTTTAGGGTTTAGGGTTTAGGGTTTAGGGTTTAGGGTTTAGGGTTTAGGGTTTAGGGTGCCATTTCCAAGACTGCTCCCTCGGGTTCCTCTTTACAGATGTGTTCACGATGTTAGAATATGCACCAAGGACCTTATTCGATTTTTGAAGGCTCCTGTACTATGCAGGGGCCTTGTTGATGATATTAGTATTGTTCATAATCTAGGAGATTTTGAGGTGGGTAGCTACCGTTATAGGAGCCTGATAGAAGGTCTATATACCTTATAGAAGCCTTATAGAAGCCCTCTATACCCTAAACTCCCCACCTCTAGTTTCCGTTAACATAACGATTCTATCCATCAGGTCCTAGAAGCATTTTGCACACGTTTAGGGCTTCAGGTTTAGGTCAAGGATTTGGGGTCTAGAAATCAGCAAAGTCATGTCGTATTAACGTTTGCACGCATGCGGGCTTTTTACAGGGTTTTGCAGGATCTCTATAAGGAATGTGGTCCTCAAAGCTCATAATAGGTTCGTGCGGGTTCGCGCGTTTAGAGTGCAGGGCGGAGACGGAATGAGTGAAGAGTGGAGTTTCGACAGGGCTCCAAAATTCAGCTTGCAATATTACGGTTTATGGGTTTAGGGTTTAGGTTTAGGGTTTAGGGTTCAGGGGTTTAGGGTTTAGGGGTTTAGGGTTTCGCCTCCGCTTGGACCGGAGAAGGCTGACAAATAGATGCTGGTGGAATCCATGCTCCAGGTGCCACACCCGATGAACATGTAACCGAGTTTTCGCTTTCGACCATACGAGGATCCTGATTAAAGGGGCCACCGGAGCTTATTTGCTATACTTCAAAATAGCCTACAAAGGTAAGGCGCTACCCTAAACCCCAAAGCCTAGACCTGTAAACCCTAAGCCCTGAAACCCCTGAACCCTAAGACGCCTGACCCACAAACTCACAAGGAACAGCATCTCTATCAAGTTCCTGAAGCACCGCGTGCGGCACTTGCTGGGGGGGTTTCGGGTGAGAGATTTTGGCGCTCACACCCTTAAACCCCAAACCCTAAACCTAAACCCAAGCCTTAAACCCTGAGCCCAAACCTGAAACCCTAAACCCCAACCTTAAACTCCAAACCTCAAGCCCCAAACCCCAAACCTTAAACTGCCTTAAACCCCAAACCCTAAACCCCAAACCCCAGACCCCAAATCCTAAGCCCCAAAACCCAAACCCCAAATCCAAAACCCCAAAACCCAAATCCTAAACCCCCAAAACCCAAAGCCCCAACCCTAAGCCCGAGGGTGGTTGTCAGGACCCGGTTCCCCAAGGGGTCCTTTCAGCGTTCTATAGGGTTTAGGGTTTAGGGTTTAGGGGCTCAGGGTTTAGGGTTTAGGGCCACGTGCTGGCTCGGTCACACCGGCCACGAGCCGTGGCAACTACCAAGTAGTGGGCCTCGACCAAGTCCATGGCCGAGCTCACGATTGCGCCCGAGTACGCAGCCAAGGACATGGCCGAGATTATGGCCTTGGGCGATAGCGTGGAAAAATGACGAGAATACGGCCACGTTCATGATGGCCGAGAGCGTGCCCAATGCGAATGGGGGGCTGCCTCTGTCCTGGCCGGTTGAATTCGAGTGTGCGTCACCCCTAAACCCTAAACCCTAAACCCTAAACCCTGAAGCCCAAACCGTCTTCCAACAACAGAATAAGAGTCCCAGGCTCCCCGGGATGAGGGTTTAGGGTTTAGGACTTAAGGCTCCCGGGTTGGGGTGGTTGTCAAAACTAGGATCCCTAGGGGATGCTTTAAGGGCTCCTTTCAATGGGCTGCTTTAAAACTTCCTCTAAGGGTCCTATAGGGTTTAGGGTTTAGTCACTCGTCTCCTACTTGCCCGTCATAGAAGGCTTGTAATGGGTTATATAGGGTTTAGGGTTTAAGGCTCCATGTGCCCATATGGGTGGTTGTCCAAATTAGGATCTCGTTTTTGGGCTTCCCAAAACTATAGGGTGCGGTACAGTACAAGCCAGAAAGTTGGAACATCATTATCCTCATGCCCCTTAGCGTAACGTGTAGGGAATCCCAGCACTCATCAACCCTAAACCCTAAGTCCATGTGTCCCTAAACCCTAAACCCTAAATCCATGTTTCCCTAAACCCTAAACCCTAAATCCATGTTTCCCCAAACCCTAAACCCTAAATCCATGTTTCCCTAAACCCTAAATCCATGTAACCCTAAACCCGAAATCCTAAATCCATGTTCCAACTTTCTGGGGTTCACCGTGTTAAGAGTAGAATTTTGTAGGGCCCTCAGTCTCGATTTCGGCCACTCCACCCAGCGTCAGTTGAGTTCATATTTGTAACGGTTTGGGGTTTAGGGTTTAGGGTTTAAGGATTCTTGATTAGTGCTTTTGGGTTCGGCTTGCGGGTAAGTGGCACTTGGCATGTCGCGGTCGATACCCACAAGAACCAGTGCGCGAAGCTGCGGTTTGGCTCGTTTTGGGATTCCAGGAGAAGTCGTTGGGTTAGGAAGCCAGTCTTCCGCATCAGAGACACTGTGAGCTCCGAGATCGGCATCTAATTATGCCAGGAACCTCTCAAGCATCCTGATGCTCAGCCACCAGGCCTCGGACAGCTTGGGGTTTAGGGTTTAGGGTTTAGGGTTTAGGGTTTAGGGTTTAGGGTTTAGGGAGCTCTGCGAAGATCGGGCTCTCACACTCGCCTGAGTCCGTGGAAGCAAATATTTGACGATATCCACCTGAGACAGCTCACCAGAGGATGAAAGGCTTCTTGTCCTTGCTGCCAGACGACGACTTCTTCGAGAGTGCCTTTGTCAACATCGCTCAGCCGACGTCAGACGAGGCACCTGGCGCGAGCAGCAGCGAGGTCAGGAAGGAAGTGCGGCTACGCATCCTCCAACTCACCGAAAGGTTCGTCGCTAACAGCAAGGGCTGGGACACCGACCGCCGAGAACGAGTGCTACCCTTCGAAAGCCTTATAACATCCGTTTCTGCATACTAAGGGCCCTTGTTCTATGTGAGAGAGAATGAGATAAGGTTTATGGCTAAGGGTGATAAAAAAACAAACCTATGGCTTTCGAAGATTAAGAGTATAGGTTGGGCCACGAATAGCGCAAAGTCATCGTCGTCGCGATGGCATCGCTTCAGTGGCTGTCGTCGCCGCCGGTGCGATGTAGGATTTGCTGTGCATGAACCCAAGTCCCTTCACCTGCAACCCTATACCCTGAACCCTACATCCCAAAACCCATAAACCCTAAACCCCACATCCCTAAACAAACCCTAAACTCTACATCCCTAAACCCTAAATCCGAAACCCTGAACCCTAAACCTACTACTCCTAAGCCCTACGTCCCATGACAAGCCCGGGGAAGACATCGGGTTCCTGCGAGCGTTGATGAGGGTTTGGACTGTAGAACGCCACATTGGGTTTAGGGTTTAGGGTTTAGGATCATTGAAGTTATTCCGCAGGCTAAGATAGAAACAAGTTCTCGGCAACGAACTTCCAAGAGTTACTAGGCAAGCAATACAATGCACTGCTAGTTCAGTACAATGACGTAAGGTCTATTCCTTCAGCAAGGACTACTGGGCTTTTCTGCGGATCCCTCAAAGGATCCGTCTGCAGCTGACTCGAAAACCTTGATGAGGACCTAATAGGGTTCAGGGTTTAGGGGCTATGCCGCACTGACCTGAGGTCCGTATCGAGGGCATGGAGCTCCGCGCGAAAGTCGCGGATGCCGGAGGGCTCAGGTGGGTTGTTTGTCGGGGTTGAGGGCTTAGGGGAGGTACTCCGGGACATCCCAAGACACCAAATCCGCATCCCAATACCGCAAACTCTGGAAAGCCTTCAACCCTGAATACAAAGCCCGACACTCTAATGGACGGGTCTGAATAATGCATGTATGAATACATTACATAGGAAAAACGTCCCCTAGTAGTCCTTCTAGAACTCTTCTATCGTACATCCCTTCAAGCGATAGTCCATTTATTAAGCCCGCCCTGAGACGCTTGAACCCAGACAGCTCCTCTTTACAGAACGCTTTATAGAAGCCGTTCTTCGAATGATGACATCCCCATATAACGTCATCAAGTACCCTAAAATACACCCCTAAACCCTAAACCCTAAACCCTAAAGTGCAAAACCGTTATAAACCCCTGCAGTGGCCCCTGCAGCGCCCTTATGCAAAGCACCCTGCGCCCCAAGACCCGCAAGCCCCAAACACAAAATTCCAAATGCCCCAGGCCTGCATTCTAAAGGGGTCCCCTAAGCCCGAAACCCTCGAGTCCTAGAGTTCTTTAGGCTTTGCTGTGTTGAGCTTTTGGGTTTTGATTTTTGTAAGGGGGAGTGTTCCGAACCCAGAACTCCCCAGCCCTTAATCCTGAAATCCTAAACCCCGAAGAAAATTCCAAGCCCATGAATCCAGATAACCCTTGAACACTGTGTAAAAATGTTGTTTACATTTTGTAAGACCCGATACAACCCTGTAGCCTAAACCCTGAACCCTGCAGCCTATCAAAGCAGTATACCCTACACACTTTAAGCCCTATAAAACCCTATAGCTTAGACCTTATAATTATAAACCCCAAATACCCTACACCCTAAACTTTAAACCCCAAACAAAAAACCTTTGAACCTCTAAGGTGCTTGCCCACATGTCCAACAAGTGGACCTTCCGCCACGGCCACGAATCCGTGAACATGTCGCAACCTCCCCGGAGACGGGCAGTCTAGGCTTCGGTTTTGGGGTTCCTATCAGGGTGGTTAATACACCCTGAACCCTGAACTCCCAAACCTTAAGCCCTAAGCCCCAAACCCTAAACCCTAGGGTTAGGGTTAAGGGTTCCCATAATATAAGGGTTTCATAACAGGATTCCAGACGAGTTCCGTAATTTTTCTGTGCAAGTCCTAAGGTTTTTTTGACCTCCATAACTCCATGGGGGGTGTACGTAAGCTTAGGGTTATTCATTGGATGTTCCTCTTATGGGGTCTTGTAAGGGCGCTTCGAAGTTTGGGTGTAGGGTTTAGCCTTATCGCACACACGGTGTTTAGAATCACCCTAAGCCCTAAAACCCTAAACCCCTAAATCCTAAACCCTATTTAAACCCTAAGCCCCAAAACCTTGGGTTTGTCGCTTGTAGTTGGATTTCGTCAGGGCCGGAGGTTCTGGAGAGTCTGTTCAGGACTCCGTAGTTCATAGCAGGGAAGCTGTCAAAAAGCAGGGTCTCTTAGGGTTCAGGTACAGATCTCACATGACGGCGAGCCTTATGATGATGAGGTCGTCTTATTCTTATTCGGAAAGTTTGAAGCTTTCAACCCAGGGGTAGTTGGGATTTATCCCTAAACCCTAAACCCAAAGCTCTAAACCCTAAACCCTAAACCCAAACCCCTAAACTCTAAGACCCTGAAGCCCTTAACCCTAAAGTCCTAAAATCCCTAAAAACCCCGAACCCTCGCAGAAGCATCCAGTCGAGCTCTCGGAGGAAGCAGCGCTGCGGCCATGGGAGAGAGAGAGAGAGAGAGAACCCTAAACCCTAAACCCTAAACCCTAAACCCTAAACCCTAGTTCGGACATTACTCGGATGACATTTTTAGGGGCCTTGACTAAATACCTACACTATTTTTGTGGGTTCCGTTATTATAACAATAAGGAACCCCAAAAATGGTGTAGGTAATTTTTTGCGACACTCTGGATCTGAGCGTCCCGGGCATCGATGCAAGGTACAAGAACGAGTCCTGAAAAGCTTAA